ATATATAATTATACATACATAGACGTACATAATTATAGTATAATTATAGTAATATTATAATTTAACTTAATCGATCGTAATTATATATAATTATATATTCACACATACATGGTGGTTGATTTATTTAGGAACGAATATTCCTAACTTATTTTTCACACACACACACACACACACACATTACATACACATACATATATATAAATATTCATATCATACATATAGTTTAGGAATTGTACTTACAGTTCCTCAACTATTGGCCGATATGCAATTTTATTCCTTAACTTTCATCATCTTGCATTAGGGTCCTAATTTTCGTAATTAACGACTATAAAATATTTTGGGGTATTATACTCTTAATACCCACATGTGTAAGTCTATTGTATCATTTATGTGTATGATCAGTCTTGACAGAAGAGATAGATGAATCTAAACCTCTTATCACTTTTTCAATAGCGATATAAATATCATTTTTCTCGGTTCCCTAGATGGAAACAAGTGCACCTTTAATCATTTTCAAAACTCCATTTCCAATCTTACCAGTGAAGTTGGCTTTCTCAAGTCTCCTTATCGAAATTAAATTCCTATACAGTTCAAGAATATATCTATCATCTTTTAAACTATACACAAAACTAGTGTCAATCTTCAAAGTAATATCACCAATTCCAGCAACAGTAAAAGCAAAATTGTCACACATCACAACATACCCATCATTAGATTCATGTAAGTTTTCAAATCAATCCTTTTGAAATATCACATGAAAAGATGCATCAGAACCAAGTATCCACTCATGCAAATGAGAATTAGCAGTTAGATTCAATTTAGTAGTAATAGCAAATGGATCCATAATCATATAACTTCACCCTCATCAAAATGGGAAGCAAAAGACAAAACTTTTATTTCATTTCTCTCTTTACCATAGTTTACCATTCTCTTTATAACGATATTTTATATAATGCGCAGTGTTCCCGCAGTTATAGTATTTCTTAACTTTGGTCCTAGATTTTGACTTAGACCTACCCTTGTCCTTCTTTTTAACTCAATTACTACTTGACTCACCACTACTTTGGTATCCATAATGACTTTTAAATTATCGTCAAGATCCTTTGAATGCTCTATTTTAAAATTGAAAAAACGTTCAAGTGAGTAAAGCTTGTTCGGAGTAGATTTGAGCAAATATAAGTTCTCCAATCTTTTCCAAAGTTCTTTTATGTTTCTAAGTTTTCCAATTTTTCTCAAAACAACGTTAGAAAAGTATAAAATAATTGAAATATAAGCAAGCTCACCAGCTTCTTCTTTTTGTTCTTTTGATAAATCAGCAGAAAAATTGTCTTCTATTGCCTTTGAAACTTTTTGTTGAACTAAAATACTTCTCATTTTTTGTTGTTGGATTGAAAAATCACCATTTTTGTTTAAAATTTCCAAATCAAAATTGTGAGTTTTCATTTTTACAAATCAATAAAAAATGCACAGAATCACAATTAAGCCTCACAAAGTAGTCCTAGGTCGCAGGCAATATACACCGTTCTAGATTCCCAAGTTTTCATAAGATTCGTGATCTTAGATCAAATGAATATTCAAACGGGTGAGGTCTACATATTTTAATGGAATTAACAATGCAACAAAACGTGTATGCTAACTAAACAGTTTCACACACAATGCAAATAATGCACCGTGACACAAATGACAATTATATCACAAAGATGATAAGCTAATTTTATCAAATAAATATTTCAACCATGTAACAATTAAGAGCAATTAATTCATAAATTCTAGTACAAGCAATTGTTACCCTAAACGATAACCCCAATTCTATTGTCAACCCATATGATGACGCGTTAATGCTGAAATTTAAATAGGATAAGTTAATTTACCAAAGCGGACTTTGAGGGTCCGTAATTTCGAAGAGATGCGAATCTGCTACTTTAGGGCCATCATTATTCACCCTAAAGTTTCAGCAAATATAGCAACACGATCAACCAATAATCGCAAGTCGAGTGTTCAAGGGCAAAATCGTCCAGATCCGTTGTATAACCATAAACATGAAAGTAACAATATCAAAACATTCAGAATGATAAACCGAGTAATTTGTATGAAAAAAACTCATCTAGAATCGCCTTCATGTACCACCGCCAAAATCCTCACACGTTGTCCCCGGAGACACCACGCGCCACCAAGCGCGTCACACACAGGAGTTCCTTGACCTACAGATCAAGGTCGTACCCTCCGTCCGTCCAGACAATGAACAGTTTGGCGAGACGCGAGGTTTTCAGGTTCAGGTTTGGGCTTTTTTCGATCCAAACGGTTTTCCTTCGATTTTGATCTGATTTTCTGGCCCACAATCAAACATCGGTGGCTCTGATACCAATATGTAGTGGAAGATTGATTGCATAAAGAGAATATTAAGACAATATTAGGAATGCTTGAAGTGTCCGCAGAATTTGCACAGAACATCACTTTTAATAGGGAAAGAATACAGAATGCCCTACCTGCTGGTCATCTTAATGCTACGACGCTTGCTGACTACCTTCTCAAGAAGGTAGGTATATTATGTCATGTTTTTCCTTTTTCAAAAAACAAACAATGTTTTTTCACTAGAGTGTGATCCCTCCGTGGATTGAAATCATTGTTTGTTTGAGTCCTTTGTTTTTTGAGTTAATCCTAATGACAAAATGGTATATTGTGGTAGGGAATTCCATTCTGAACTTCTCATGATATAGTTGGCAGGTCTGTTGCCTTGTGTGTTTCCAATAACTGCCAACTTCAGGAGCCGAGTCTCGAAAAGCTGAGAAGTATAAACCCAGTTTTTGATGAGGATGTCTACGAGTTTCTTGGAGTTGAAAATTCAGTAAAAAAGTTCATTTCATATGGCTCCACTGGTTCAGAANGACATGCATCTACTAAGAGTACTAATAGCAAAAGCTAAATCCGATCTAGTACAAACATCAAATACATAATGGATCCTATCATATTAGAATATGGAATCTTACTCGTGTATTTTTTTTTCATTACATGGAGCTCGATGTTTAGATAACACAAAATGATTACCTAAAGGTAATGTAACAAGTTTGCAATCCGGTCTTTGAACTTGAACATATATGACCCATATTATATTCATAAATCGAATTCCGTATTTTAAAGTATGAAAAACGATCTAACATACAACGTATGACTATACTGACCTCGTAAATTTGAAGATGATTTTATAAAATATGTATGAAAGAATTTGACCTCGAACAATTGTTTATGAAATGTGCGTGTAGTGTGGGACAATTATAGTCACACACACACATATAATTTAAATAAATCAACCATAATTACATATAATTATACATGCATAGACGCATGTGATTATAGTAATATTATAATTTAACTCAATCTACCATAATTATATATAATTATACATATATAGACACACGTAATTGTAGTAATCATACATTAATTTAAAAATTGGAAAGAGATGAAATTAATGAAAACTCTACATTAATTTAACAAAGTAGAATGAAAAGACTTGTGGATATCTTAAAGACAGATGGTATGAATTAAAGGGTCGTCCGGTCAGTGCAATGGGCAACCTTCGATCGCTACACCTTTGGCAGTGGGACATGTTGCCAAACTACAATGCTCTCCGTCTGCACCCCACCATGAAATGCTTAGGTTCTCTATTCCAAGGCTGAAGTACAAGACGACTCCCATGAATGCTAATCCAGCATCCAATGCTGCTGAAAGAATGTAATTATACCTCTGCCACCATGTTTTCCTGTATCGAAATACAAAGAAATTGAATATTGCCCCGATAAAAATCCAACTATTGAAGTTCAAAGTTGAAGCAGGAGGCATTGCAGCTGTTGCTCCAAGAAGTACTGGTATATTAATCAGCTTTATCCATTCCTTAGTAGGAAATGCTTTGTGTAGTAGCCATACAACAATAGGAGCTAAAGCACCCCCGAGAAAGCACCAGTTAAGGGCACTATAATTTCCGAGAGATCCAAATATACGCTTTGGTCCTACCAAACCCCAAATGACAGATGCATCGTAGAATACACGGTCACCAGGACACGTCCATGGACTATTCACAGGAAGTAACTGATCATCGCATATGTTCTTGATGCTCGTCAGCAACCACCAAGCCACCCCAGTGTTGATTGTTGCAGCAATAATCGTCCCAACTAACTGAACTATAAACATTGATCTTGGTGGAACCTTCATGTAATGGCCTAGCTTAAAATCATTCAGAAAGGAAACTGCTTGACTCATGCTCATATATCCATAAGTTTTAAAGCACACATTGGCTATTGGTCTCCCGGGATATATGATTCCCATTACATATTCCGTAATCACATTAAGTCCTGGCGTCTGATTTGTTGTGGCTGTTATTATGCTTATTGGGAGTGTAAAGATCAAAGCGAGCACGGCTGAAAAGAGGAGTCCCCACCATGGCAATTGAACTTGATCTTTCATGAATATGCAAAGCACAAGAGACAGAGCCAATGACAGCACCAACATCACATGAAACCACCAGTTAGGAATCTCTTTGTACTTCCTCATAAGTCTCGTGTGGATATCTGGCTTTCCTTTGTATGAAGCTCGAAATCGCTCATACATTTCCCTGTTTTATTAGACGATTGGTCAGAACATTAATATTTGAATTATACAGAAAGATGGTATAACTACTGATAATGACTTACTTTCCGTTAAACATGCCAACATGAGTGAGAGTAGCCACGACAGCTGCAAAATTAAGGCCATATGAGAGAACAAAAAAGATACTGAGGTATATATGTCCTTGCTTCTCGTACGCTGGCAAGTCGATCTCAAACTTGTCATTTACAATAGCAGATACATTATAGTTCTGGCCCACGTGATCAAATAAATGCGAGGAGAAGAGGGGATATGTTTTGGCACTGTAAAGGTTCAATCCCCAATAGGCTACTGGAATAAGTAGATAGACAACTGCGAAATAGCCTACAAACACATTTAAGATAGCGAAGAACGGAGTGACGAGAGGACTTCCAAGAAAAGATGCCACGACAGACCAATCTGTGGTGAAGGAAGCAATACCGAGGCCTTTCATGCCTGAACCAATTTGTTGGGCTGAAACTGAATTGGGAAATGCATAGCAAAGCAACGAAATGTTTGACAAGGTCGGAAACAGATAGCCAGGGAAAATGTACCAAGAGAAGCTACATACAAGTGCAATAAAAAAGAACTTCCCTTTAGAGTTTCTACTGCTTTCTTTTTCATGAAGAGCCCTGCAAAAATGTCATTCAAACAAACTTCGTTATCTAAATTTCTCATTTCTATCCAGCATTGGATTAAACCAAGCGGGATTTTCTTGTGTTTCTTCATGATTTTTTTTTTTTAATGGAAAAAAAAGGTTGCAAGAGTATGAGTGTCTATTAATAGAGGTGATTGGTGTTGAACAAAGAACGATGCAAAGATATACACACCATAACTTGAAATCAAATCGAAGAAGATTACTGGCCAATGAACAAAATAAAGACTAATTCATAAAAAATTAACTAAATTCAAATAAGGACAATGTGCCTGCCTTGTGAAAACAGATTCAGAAGCTATTAACATTCCTTTTTTAAAATTATGCATTCAAATAATTGCAAAAATTAAAACTGTCGCCAACTTGTTTAACTAATATACGTAAAAAAGGTGGTTTAGATACATAACTACAGATTGATGGCAATTGTATATATCAAAGATATCAAAAAATAAAAAAGTGGTGTGACTTATTTAATTTCGTAACGCTAAAACATGTAGGAAAATCTTAAAATAAAATCACATGAACATTGCCTGTACAAAAATAGCATATGGTATTCCGGAACACTTCTCTTCACATTTGCTGACAAGAAATGATGAGTCGAGACAGAAAAGGGGAGGTGATTATTCGACTTGAATAAAACATGATTCTGTACTTGAACCCACAGGATTATCTCCAAGTAATAACGCACAGTAGTGATGAAAATTATTAGTTTTTGCAACAAACTTCATAACTAATAATAAGGACTGTTTTTATCCCAAGAATTGAAAAAGGTGATTTGTTCGAAAATAACATGTCATGATGAATATATTTATCCCAAAGGCACAAGTTTCTCATTCTGCTACAAATTAAAATGAATATATATACCTGAAGAGAGAAACCTGAACTAGACTGCTTGGCCACCACATTTCTGCTGGCTCTATCACATATTTCTTCAAAATCCCAGCCCACCCATATCCCAATACCTGCATGTATATATGTTTAGTAACCCTGCTGTACGTATGTAAGAGTAAAGATAGAAAATAAGTAAGTTGTACCTGAGTTGTGATAACAAGAATCCAACTAGCCAAGAAAGAGATTTGCCTATGATAGAAAGCCTTAATAATATCCAAAATCCCGACCGCATACGCCGATCCACTCCCAAACGCCGAACCAGCATTAGCAAATATCGAAATCAGGACGTGCTCTTTCATGTTAAAAGGCCCGGGATTGAGCGAAAACTCCATTGATCCAACACCAAACTTTCGCGTAGGAAGCACATTGGCCATGAAACGTCCTAAGGGCAAAGTAGCCACTTGCACGGATATCATGGTTATTATAAGAGGCTCAGTACGGTAACTGAAAAACGTATTCAGAAACGATAAAAGAATACAAGAGACTATTCCTAGAAACCACATTCGAAACGTCCATACTGGAAGGGACGGATCGTCGTCGTTCGGGACGGTCAGTCTAACTTCCTCTATAGGGGAAATTACTTGTTCATCATCATCTTCCATCTTCTCAATAATATCACTGTTTTCCATATCTATTTCTTTCGAATGGATGGATGGATGGATGGAGGCGACGGGAGAGTTTGTTATTAGAGAGAGTTCTTTTATCATGAGAGATTTGAGGAATCTGTTTTGGTAAATTGAATATTTCTTCTTCTAAATCCCAGTCCCAATACAATACAATCCATTTTCTTATTCTGTTATATAATGGCACTTTGGAGGACGGAATTTAGATTTTATGATAAAATTATGGTTTTACATTTTGTAATTCAATAAAATGATATAAACCCATCCCTAGTGGTCGTTTGTTGAATTTAACGTTTAGTTATGTCATATAAAAATTCAGTCCCCCGTGCTTGATCCTTTAGTTGGAATTGAGTGCTGAAGAGTAAGAAAACAAAAATTTAGTGTCAAATTTGTAACCAAAAAAGGGCATAATGAACAAAACCTATAAGTTGAGTGGCAGTTAAATTCTGATCGATACCAAACTTCTATTTGGGTTAGGATTCATTCTAGCCTTATCGGGGTGTCATCGACTGAGATTTTAATAATTTTTACAAGTCCTTCTTAATTTAGGTGTCCCCAATTCTAATTTTATTAAAATTCATTAAAATTTAGTTGTTCCAAAATAAGATTTTAATGAAATCTTTTAATAACTCGAACTTATAAAAATAAAGAGATTTCAAAAAAATATACACTATTTTAAAATTTCATCATTTTTCATAAGATTATTATGGATTATGTGAAAAATTTATTAAAATTCACAAAAACTAATAAATGTACCCCGCTAGATAGGATTGTTGTAGGTTAAATGTTTGACCCGAAAAAGATAAAAGGTGGTCAGAGCATTGAACTGAAATTGAATCATCAATATTAAAAAAACTAAAAATAAAAATTCTGAGTGTGAACTATTATGCAGTTGAACTGGCCGGTTCTCGGACTATTTTAATGGGTAATATCTCCATAAAGACTGTTACTATTTTTTATCTCCATAAAGACTGTTACTATTTTTTTATTTTTTTTGTTTAAATTATGCTAGTAGACAAATATTAAGGGTGCTTTTGATTGCAAGTATGGACAAAAATAAATTTTAGACAATTGAATTGCCTATAACTTATCTGTAAGGAAATTATAAATTAAATGTATTTGATTAATATAGTTTTCAATTTAGAAAATATTATACTTGTCCATTTTTTATTGGTGGGTAAGCAAGATAAATGAAAGAGATAGTGGATTACTTGGAAAATAAAAACCACATCTCCATTATGCATTATACCACATATTCTTCAAGGATAGTATTAATAGTCATACCAGATAAGTTGTCTATAATTACATTTATTATACACATATAGTTTTCATGCATTTTTAGGCTAACAAAATATAGACTTGTGATTGTATTCACTATAGAATAATTAATCTAATTATACAAGTTTTTATGAAATTTGTTACGTTGAAAGTCGTGCATTGCATATTACGATTTCATTTTTCTTATTTACTTTTCGTATAGGTATAGAGGTGTTCAAACTACAAATTCAGAAATTTCAAATTTCTCTAGTAAATTCAATTATTGCCAAGATTGAGTCATTTTATTTGGTCAATCATTTATTCGATCAATATGCAACAACGAATTTATTTTGATATCATCGCTACTCATGTACAAAAGTGTTATTGACAATTTTTTCTTTTCAATTCTATTTCTTTTTCATCACCACATAACTTATTGAGAAGTCACGACTTTCAATATTTCAAGTATTTGAACATTTTGTGGGATTTTATAATTAGTTATATCTCTATGTTCTCCAAGAGTATATACTTCCTAAATGAGATCATCTTTCTTATTTACTCCATTGTCTTTTAAAATTTTTGTCCTTAGAATTGAATATAATCACGTTTCAGGCATGTCACTTAGATTTATCAAATATAATGTTAATGAATTGTCCTCTCCAGATGTCAATTCGAGATGGAGCATTTAAGGTTGTGTGAGATATTGTTTATCTCCTTCGTTCGTAAATGTGTCTCACTAAATTATTTTTCGAACTTTTGATTCGAATTGTCTTTTCAGATTTTTCATTCATCCCCTAATATTGAGAAAACTATCAAATCAAATTGACAATCAGCAAATCTCATTATAAAACCCACCATCTTAATTTTATAATCTTAAAGTTATGCTCATAATTTAAAATTTGAGCAAATAATCTCATAAAATTCAAGTTATGAACACTAAACAATCATCTAGTAAATATATCTATTAAATATAAATTATATCTAGGTGGTCAACATGAATGGTAACGAGACCCAATTAATCACCCTAATTAATCCCCCTATTTGACTCTAAAATAAAATAATTTATTTTTTATATTCATTTTCAACCACACATTCACACAATAAACTATGTCGTATGTAAATCCAAAACTTTTTTCCACTTTTTAACCACACATTTTTCAAAAAATCATTGTTCAAAATATCAATTTTACACAATAATGCCATCAAATAGGTGCTAATTTTTATGATTATAGGATAGTTCCAATTTTAACTAGTGATAATCAATGACCAATTTATAATACAAGATAATAGGCATTATATATAAATTCATTGGATAGAAAAAATCTCGTAGTTCTTTACTGAATGTCCATTCTAATTCATAATAATTTTTCACATTATTATTGCTTCGAGATGGTCGGAACGATCATATTAAATAAATAAAATTTTCAAAATCTCGAACTTCTGGTTTGACATAATATTTTTACAATTGTACTAATACTTGTACAGTAAGAATCAAAATAGAGTAAAATAATATTAGGTCTTCTGGAACATACAATCAGACTTGTGGAACTTGATATTATATTATGTTAGCTTCAATCATTTATACATATTTCCTTCAAGAACTCGTGATAAGCTCTCAACATGATGATGAATATACAAAGAGTAGTCATAATTAAATGAGTGAACAAATGTTGTTCATTGGCACTTTATTACAATTATTAAAAAACTAAATAAGACAATATAAGTGGATGACCATAACTTCATTCATGATTTTTAAAATTAACATAATGTCCATAAATTTTGGTCCAAGAAAATGTCATGCAAAATCAATTGAATACGTTTTAAATATTTGTTCACAGTTGATGAAAATTGTTGTATATTTTCCTTGAGGGACAATTATTTATTCATAAAATTTATATTTAGGTAATATCTCTTAATGAAATGAAATTATATAATATTTTTAAAGACTTGCGCTATGTCGAAAGCACAATAAATTATTCTTTGAAAATATTGATTCATGCAGCTTCAATATTTTTCAAAGTTTATTGAATTTTGTAATTTCAGCTCCTTAGGTTCAAGTAATTTTATGTCATAATATTAATATAATATTGTCCTTCTTTATGATCAATACAATATTCTTTGATAGACATAAATTTATGATTTTTTGGAAACGTGATATTAGTATTTTTTAAAATATTCATATGTATTATTTTATGCTTCTTCAGAAGTAGTAACACAATATTTTTCTGAAATATTTATTTAACTCATGTTTGTTTCTTCGAGAACATTAATACTATATTCATTTAGAATAAATACAATTTTTAATTTTACTTCTTCAGGATCATAAACATCGTTGAAGGTTTGTGCTCTAATCAAGAAAATTAGTAGTATTATATAATTTTCTAGAATATTAAAGATTATAAAGTTATACTCTTCATGAATAATAATAATACCATACTGTATCATAATATAAACATATGCTTATTCAAGAGCATTAGTTAAATCAAAAGATTTATCTAGTCTAAGACTTCACAAATTTGACATGTGAAAGAATAAAAAAAACATTTAAAGAATAGACTTTGATTTGTCATATCTAAAAAACTTTACACGAATGTTATGAAACTATTATGAACTATTACTCAGATGTGAAATCTTTAAACGAGTTGAATAGTTGACAATTCTCATATTATTCAAAGATGTAAATTTGAAAATTTTTGTAGCACTTTAAGAATTTGTTACTATTCACATAGTGGTGGCTCGGCTCAACCCTATTGCCCACGAACTTGGCTCGTGCTCGCCACGAGAGTTCCTTGAGGTCTAAGCTTGGCTCGGCTCTCGAGCTCGTGGTTCGTGTGCGAGTCGAGTTTCGGCTCGTAAGCTCGTCTAATTTTTTTTCTTTAGATAAAACCTTCCTCCTTTATTCGGACTTAGAATCAGCTACTTAAATTTTGAGTAGGCGGAGTTTAAAACTATACACAAACAATTTGCTACGTCTACAATTTTAAAAAAATATTAAAAACAGTATTATAAAATAAGCAATTGTATTTATATGATTAAATTAAATATCACTTACCTGATGACATGCAATTTTGACATATTTATCTTACAGTCGGAAATGCATGTCTTGTCAATCCTTCACGCTTATTAATGTTTTCAAAATATTTTCTTTTAGTCGGTTCTTGATCTCGGCCAAAACTCTCTTACCTGCACTAAAAGTAGACTCTGAACCTATAGTGTTAATCGAAGGTGTTAGTAGATCTTTTGCAATAATAGAAACCATTGGCCACCGTCGTTCTTACTTTCGCCAAAATTCAATTGCTTCTTCTGAACTTTTTTTAATCGTTTTATTATTATGCATTTTAAGATTAAAGTAATTAAGTAATTAAGTAGGCAATGCATTTGGACTTGTGTCCGATATTTGATTATACGTGGTAGAAATATTACTTCTAGAAGAACCTATTGCATCATATCTATACGCATTAATGCGTTCAAATAAGTTTAATATTTCAACATCGTCTTCTTCAATATTAGCGGAGGAGTAGGGGCAGAGGGTACCCGACTAATATTTGTACACATTCGTTCTACATATAATTCATACATTTCACATAAAATTTGTTCTAAATTTTTATAAGTAATAGGCGTATTAAAAGTTAAAGATTTTGAAATTTGATCAATTATATATTTAGTACCTGATAAATTGTATCGGTGGTCCATGATGCATACTAAATGAAATAACATATGCAAGTCTTCCCAATATTTTCTAAACTTTA